CAAGGCTAGTGCTCTACCACTTGAGCCACAGCACCACTTCCAGCTTTTTTTCTTTTTGCTTATGTGGTGCTGAGGAATCGAACCCAGGGCAGCCTCATGCATGCAAGGCAAGCGCTCTACCACTGAGCCACCTTCCCAGCCCCAGGGTTTTGTTTTTTAGTTTTAGCAAAGATTTATTTTAGTAAAACAGTTTAAAGTATGAAGAAATGGAGAGACAAACATTTCCTTCTCTGTCTGCAGGAATTGGGAGTCAAAGACGCCTCAATATTAGTTTTTAAGGAAAACAATGTTTTTTATATTAGTAACTAAAAAATCCCCTTGTGTATTTTATTGGAACTGATATCTGACACTAATATAAAGAACTTCACAAAAAAGAAACCGTTTCTGAGGCTGGTGTGGTAGAAAACACTTGAAATTCCAGCACTCATGAGGATCACGAGCTTGAGGCCAGCCTGAACAAAAAGCATGAACCTGCTTCAAGAAACCAAACCAAAACAAACAAATAAGATAGGAGGTATGATTCAAATGGCAGTGTTTGCCTAGTAAGCTTGAGGCCCTAAGTTCAAAACTCAGTATTCCAAGAGGAAACAGAAACGATAACAGCAGCAGCAACAATAACAGTCAGTTTCTGGCTCCCAGATTGCTTCTGTACAGATAAATCTTTCATAGAGCACTTTATTTCAAAAACACTTATAATATCTCAGGAAGTTTTGGAAAATCTTATTTCAAATTGGGCTTGGTAGTGCATGCTTGTAAATCCCAGCACTCCGGGAGGCAGGAGAATCATGAGTTCTAAAATAAGCCTGGCCTACAAAGCACATTCAGACTAGCCCATGTTACAAGTCTCTGATTCAATCTTCCTCTCTAATGTCTTATTTCCATGCAAAATGTTTTATTTCTGTGTAGTTCATACTTTCCTGAGATTTTATTGGGAAAATATAAAGCTTGCCTCTGTAAGACATTAAGTATGATATTCGCATCAAGTAATTATGAAAGATTTCATTTTGACATGTCCATCCATGCAATGTACCTTGATCAAATTTTTCTCCCTCTATACTCTCCCTCAAACTCCATGCTTGTGTCCCCACCCTACTCCCTACCAATTACAACAGGCTTCATTGTTCCACTTTTATACATGACGGGTATTTTTTTTTAAGGCAAAATGATTTTCTAAGTTAAAAAATGCAGTTACAGATTTCCATCACTTACATATAAATTAAAAATCCTAACAGAAAACAGTTTTGTTATACTAGTGAAAGTATTCTCTACTAGTTCTATGTACATTTAAATGACGTACCTCCCGTGATGAGATCATAATAGTAATGGTAACCTTCAGAAGTTATGCCTTCTACCCATCTACCCTTTGGAGGATCTTTTTTCTTCTTTTTCTTCTTTTCTTTCTGTTGATTTGATGAAGAGGTGGGTGGGGTAGTGCTGGCTATTGGTGATTTGCTTGGCTCTGGAATTTCTAGAGAAAAGGTGAATGAAGTCTGAAGGAGCTAAAGTAACTTTTCTATATGCTGTCACAGAATTTTCGTAATGCTCTTTAAGTCAGGAGCCTCATAATGCCCAATGCAGTGGAGGTACGCCTGTAATCCCAGCTACTTAGAAGGAATATGGGGATGATGTTGAGTTTGAGACCAGCCCAGACAATACAGTGAAACTGAGCACCAAGCATTCATTGGTAGCTCATACCTGTAATCCTAACTACTCAGAAGACTGAGACCTGAGGATCCAGGTTTGAAGCCAGCTGCCCTTTTACCTGATTCTAAGCCAAGCCTTTTCAAATCCTCCTGGTATGCTTTCAGAGCAGCTGCCTCCATTGCAGCAAACTCCTTTGATGCTTTTTCTTCTTCTTTTGCCTTATCCAGACTTTTCTGTTTAATCTACATAAGACACATAAAAGTGAAAGTGAGAGAAAGGACTGACTGAAATTATTCAGAATTGTTAATAAAGAACGAAATTTAAACTACCTCACTGATCCTTTTTGCCACATTTTCCTTATGATTCTTTCCTCTTTCATGAAATTCAATGCTCTTGAAAAGGAGAAAAAAGTAACATTAAATAGCTTAAAATCCACAGCAAAATAATACAGTAATAGATGAGAATGGAACATAAAGGAATTAAAATGAAAAATTTGGCAGAAAAGAAATTATTTTTACAGGAACTGAACTACACCCTCAGTAGATTTCTTCTGGTTCTTAAACCATGATGACTATGTTAATGGGATAAAAACACAAGGTATTGGTTAATGCCTAATCTGGTGAATATGATTCTAATAAAACCAAAGAACAGAAATTTTAAAAAATTACCATTAAGTTGTTGTACAAAGGAGTGCAATCCATAAGTCAGGTTCTAAGCACGATGATTCTTGGAAAATTTATTTTTAAAGAAACAATTGTGGGGGCTGGGAAGGTATCTCAGCGGTAGAGTGCATGCCTTGCAAGCATGAGGCCCTGGGTTCGATTCCTCAGCACCAAATAAACAGAAAAAGCCGTTAGTGGCGCTGTGGCTCCAGTAGTAGAGCGCTAGCCTTGAGCTGAAGAGCTGAGGGACAGCGCCCAGGCCCAGAGTTCAGGCCCCACGACCAGCAAAAA